TTTACAAGTTGGACAAAACTTAAATACATCATAAATATTATTGATGTTGTTCTCTAATTAAAATTAGAGTTTTATATAAGTAATATGTGTAAAATTACATTATTAAAATATGAATTACATATTTATTACTAAAGTGAAACTTCAATTCTATTGAAGAACAACACTACAATATTGTGACTAACAAAATTGGAGATGAAATTTTCTTTCAGAGTTGAATGCAACTATCCCGGTAGGTCAATAGCTTTCCACGTGGACTCTGGCTCAAACCAAGAATATTTTGCTACATTGGTTGAATATGAGGATGGGGATGGTGATCTTTCAAAGGTTGAAATAAAGGAAGCACTTGATTCAGGGTCATGGGACATCATGCAACAATCATGGGGTGCAGTGTGGAAAATTGACAAAGGCTCACCACTGAGATCACCATTTTCCATCAGGCTAACCACCCTTGAGTCCGGCAAGACTATTGTGGCCAATAATGTGATCCCTGCTGGGTGGACTCCTGGTCAGACTTATAGATCAGTTGTGAATTTTGAAACCTAAACATGAAGTGTCCATGAACATTTTCTATTTTCTATCATGGCTTTTAATCTAATGGTTGAATTTACAAAATTCACGGATTGAGCAATATAATACTTAGTAAAAGTTACACTACTATTATTATAAACTATCCCCTCTCTCTCTCTCTCTCTCTCTCTCTATATATATATATATATATATATATATATAGAGAGAGAGAGAGAGAGAGAGAGAGGGGATAGTTTATAATAATAGTAGTGTAACTTTTACTAAGTATTATATTGCTCAATCCGTGAATTTTGTAAATTCAACCATTAGATTAAAAGCCATGATAGAAAATAGAAAATGTTCATGGACACTTCATGTTTAGGTTTCAAAATTCACAACTGATCTATAAGTCTGACCAGGAGTCCACCCAGCAGGGATCACATTATTGGCCACAATAGTCTTGCCGGACTCAAGGGTGGTTAGCCTGATGGAAAATGGTGATCTCAGTGGTGAGCCTTTGTCAATTTTCCACACTGCACCCCATGATTGTTGCATGATGTCCCATGACCCTGAATCAAGTGCTTCCTTTATTTCAACCTTTGAAAGATCACCATCCCCATCCTCATATTCAACCAATGTAGCAAAATATTCTTGGTTTGAGCCAGAGTCCACGTGGAAAGCTATTGACCTACCGGGATAGTTGCATTCAACTCTGAAAGAAAATTTCATCTCCAATTTTGTTAGTCACAATATTGTAGTGTTGTTCTTCAATAGAATTGAAGTTTCACTTTAGTAATAAATATGTAATTCATATTTTAATAATGTAATTTTACACATATTACTTATATAAAACTCTAATTTTAATTAGAGAACAACATCAATAATATTTATGATGTATTTAAGTTTTGTCCAACTTGTAAAATGTTAAAAAGAAATTAATTAAATATGAACACAAGATTCACGAGGGAAGCATAAACCATATATGTCAAAAAAAAATATAACTGAAAGTCAAGAAAGTTGAAATATTTATTCAAAATAATAGTAGAATGATGTTAAGAAATTTTGTCCCACTGGGAATATATAATTAATCTACTTGACCTTAGGTAGAATTTCTTAAAGTTTAGAAGAGACCTTCTATGTTGAATGTTTATTTTTCCTGCATTTCGTAGAGTCTGATCTTGACCTGAAACTGCCATTGCTCCAAAAGCACTCCCACTCAAATCAAAATGATATTGAGCATCTGAACCACACCCATCACACTGATCTGTGATCACTACTGTCACAGCTCTTCCTGAGCATGCAGAATTCCCTGTGCACTTCACCTGAAAATATTGGAACAAAAAATTTAAATGGCTCTAATTAATGTCTTCCAATTTTTAACTCCATGTAGTAGCTAGAGTATACATATTCATTATTCAGTGTAAGATTTTTACAAAAAAATTTGACATTTTAACGTAATTATTATAAACAAAATTACTACATACAATAATTTGTAATTTATTGATGAGATGATATTGATATTTATTTAACTCAACGGTAAAGCAACAAATTTTTCTTCTTTACTTTATGTTTGAGAAAGTGTAAAATTCACCTCATTGTAAACGGATTTCAAAACATACGCTTACAGGGTGTTTGATTTGTAGTAGTTAACAACCCCAAAGTTTAAAGCAAAAATATAATATAAAATAAAATTCTGTCTTCCTAATTTTATGTTTTGGATAGTGAGAAATTCTTTTTGCATCATACTAAACGCTTTTCAAGCACACACTAGTTGAAATTTAAGGACATTAATTTATAAAACTGTAATTGACTTATCAGTCATTACAGTGATTTCACAAGTCCCAAATAACCAAGAAAAGAGTAATGATAAATATGCACTTCATGTTTAGAGTTTATGAGATGTAAGAAAGTGATAGAATAAAAAAGAAAAAAACAATAGAGTGAGAGAGAGAGAGAGAATTATAGATATGGCAATTGATGTGATGTAGAATTGAGATAACTAAAGAAGAAAAATACAATGAAAGTGAGTGCATATATATTAAGTATTTTCTCTAAGGTGTGTTAGAAGTGTTAACAGCCTTCCTGTTCTGAAAGATGTTTTAACTATACATGTTTTTTTATTCGCACCTCATAGCAAGAACCACACCCTTTGCCTGAGTCATATATAAGAGGGCTTCCTGCGGATATTAACGAAGAAAATGGAGGTTGCCCAACAGCGTTTCCATAACCACAAGCTCCACCTACATATATAAATATCAAATATATTGAAACTATATATATATATATCATAACCATAATTTAATAATTATTTGGACACATCCTTAATTTGGATCAAGGAATAATGCTAATCTATTTATTATTGTTATTATTATTATTATTGAATTACCTTCACTTCCATCTCCATTTGTAGCTCCATACCAAGTGGCCACTGCTGGTGACCAATCTGAACCAGATGAGGAATAATATGAAGCATTAAGAAGCTTTTTGGGGTTGAAACAAAAGGAAGGGATCACTAGGAACATTGAGAGTAAAGCTACAAGGATGAGTAGTTGAGATAATGCACGTTGAAGTGTAAGAGCCATATTTATCACAACCACTACTATTTTGTTAGTCTCCAAGGTAGTTGGTAGTTAAGTGCTATATGGTGTGAGGAATATGCAATGGCTAGTGTGGTATTTATAGGGAACTCACGAGGAAAGTACGTGGCTTCCATAATTGCTTCCAAGTAGAAATATTCCACTGGGAAATATTATAAAAAAGAATATGCTTAATCCATGGGAGTTAATTTTGGGTCTCACTTTATTCAAAGAACAAGACAAATTAGATGGTTGAATATATTGAGATACGAGACATTTTGTTCACGTATTCATTAATCACCATCTCTGGACAATATCTTTTATCTAGATTGCACTGTCATATACAGATTATGTATGAGTTTACATTTGAAAATGATTTGAAAAAAAAAATCTACATTTTAAATTAATAATATTTCAGTTTTAAAATGGCCAGTAAACTTTATCATTTGAACATTAAAAGTTTTTAATACAATTTCTATTTTTTTTTTTACTTATTAATTGAAAAACTCTTAATGATATATGTGTATAAGCGATCGAAAATTTCAAGTTGGACTTGTGATTAAAGATGTCCGGTACTTTCGTCTTAATTATTTAGGCTTGAACATTAAATCAATACTTGAATTCCTTAAGAGTCTGTTAGTATATAAAAGTTTTTTTTAACAGGATCAGAAAGAACATGGTCTTGGCTAATTTTTCTAAATTAATTTATTTTTCCTTTTTCAAATGCCGTTTGAAAATACAAACAGGCACGTATCACTACAACAAAATTTAGTATTACCGAAAATTATTTAATGATAATAAATTAATTGTCTCTATTTTATTATTTAATAAAAATATTAATGACTATTATATAATAGTCACTAAAAATGTATTTACATCACATCAAAATTCATTATTAAGGACAATTATTTGTCAGAAAAAATTTAAGTTCCATATCGACTAGAAATAAAATAATTAAAGAGTATATAAGTGAATGATAACTCTCACCTTACAAGTATGTTTTATAAGAGGTTGAGTTAGGCCTATAACTTACTATTCTAAGTTGGTATTTAGGAGATAAGATAATTAAAAAAATTAAAGAATATATACTTAGAAGATAACATTCATCTTCTATGTCCTACATCAATTAGAAATAAGGTAACTAAAGAGTATTTGTACTCATCTTAAATGCCAGTAACAAATGACACAAAAAGTTATAAATACTTTAGCGACACTGCATACAATGGCTAATGTATGAAATGCCGGTAAAAGATTTTATAGCAATTTTTATTGCCACTAAAATTCATATTAAATGCTACTAAAAGTCCATTTTATTGTAGTGTATATAAAGAAGTGTGTCCATATCAATATGAACTTATGATATCAGTTTTATGAAACAAACTTTGCCAAAATACTCGTGTCAAAAGGAAACGTTCATGATGTCTAAGGTTAGTTTGCTTTTTGATAATATTTAAGTATTTTTGTGCACCAAATTGAGATAATTAAATTCTATTTTAAAAAGTTGTAAATAACAAACCCATGTTAACTATTTGAGATGAAATTTACACTGCGTTTGATTGGAAGTACATGAACGAGATGAGAAATAAGAAATTTATTATTAACTTTTCTGATTGATTCAGTTTTTAGGAATTCATCTAATTAACTTTAGCTCTTCTCTAATATTGAAATATTTGAAGGAGAGAAGAAGAGTATTAAAATATTTTTAATATAATATCTAAAATATTTTTACTTGTATTTTAAATTCAAAATTACAAAAGTTTAAAAGGAAATTGATTTTTAAAATTTCTCTTTAATACTTTTAAAACAAACTAAAAAAAGGGGTTATTTTTCTTTCCTTCATTAATTAATATTTCTCCTTTAACAGAATTTATAAGTCCTCTCCTCTTTTTCCTTCTTGTATCCTCCATTAAAATTCTTCTTCTCACCTCTTATTTCTTAACCAAATAAACCCTTAAAGAAATTAAACATTATAATTAATAATTGTATACCTAAAAGGTAGCCATAAACAACGGCGAGTTTAGACTTTGAAATATTGGATAATTTTGAAATGAATTTATGACTACACAACCACGTAGCAGGCTAAATGTATTTGATTATTATATTTTTATAAAGGATAGCAGGACCACATTTTAAGTTAAAACTTATCACTGTTTTCTTAATCCATATGTTAATTTCTACTTTTTAAGCTAAATTATATTTTTAGTTTGTATGTAGAAAGCATGATTAAGATTATTCACTTGTAACAATGGTGTACTTCTATTAAATTAGACTTGACTTCTATTTCCTTGAATTAAGCCCCTTTTTCACGAATTCGAAGTCAATTTACATTTTTTTGGTTAATTGAAATGATGACATCACATATATATGAATTAAACGTAAAACCCGGTCTTACATATGAAGAATAGAAAAGAAAACCGCATGCAACTTAGAAACAATCTATTTTACATAATTTAATTAGATATCTTTCTTTTCCTTTATATTTATTTTTTTTACATTAATTAGATATAACTTTAATACCTTGCAACGAACACTTCTAACATAAAGCAGTGAAAATTGTGAATACCCCATGAGGTAGGAAGTGTTTTATATTTTGATATATTTTAAAAGAGTAAATTATTTTAGAAATTAAAAATATTTTCATAATTGAAGCTTTTCAGCATTTTCATATTTCACATCTCGAAAGTTCATATTAATTTGTGTTCTCGACGTCTAAAGATAACAAGATATTTTTTTAAAACCAAATTTAAGTTAGTGATTAAAAAAAATTATCATCTATATAAAACATGGAATCTATCATGTTAATCACTATAAATAATAAACGAAAATGCACATGAACTCATGATGATAAGAGAGTGATGCGATTTGATCTTTTAGATCAACACGTACTCTTTTAAGAGAATCCTTTAGCTATCTCTCTATCTCTTTCTAATAATGGGATGTTAGAAAAGAAATTTTTTTTGTATGATCTGAGGACCTAACCTATTTATAAACAGTCATAAAGTCTTTTGATATTTTTATTTTTATCCATCATAAAATAGAATTATCCTTTAGTTAGGGTTTAGGATTTAGGGTTTAGGGTTTTTCAAATACATAATTGCCAAAATAATTTATATGTCATTAGATCACTTTAATTTGGCATAACTTTACATGTTCTTAATATATAATTATTCACGTATAAAATCAATGTTGGATTAAAGATCCAACAATTTTTGAAAATTGTTTGTATATATTATATTATACTTAAATATTTATTGTAAAATAATATGTGTTCATTTAATTTTGTACTAAATAGGAAGATTTCAATTACAAGTAAAATCTGTTAGAAATTAAGAATTTTCGAGGAATTTTTGACGGATTTAAATCCGTCAGAAAAAGTGACGTTGGAAAAAAAATTTGTCAAAAATTTTCGACGGATATTTTTGACGGATTTTTCTGTCAGAAATTTTCGATGGAAATTTCCAACGGATATGAATCTGTCTAGAAAATTATCCGTCAAATTTTTTTTTTTAATTTTAATAAATTTATTAATGTAACAGCCCTCATATTTGACCTCTTAAGGGTTCTATTTTACGATATTTCACTTTTTAGCATGTTTTATCCTTACTTGCGCAATTTCTAGGAAACTTCCCAGAAGGTCACTCATCCCTTCATTACTTCAGGTCAAGCACGCTTAACTGTAAAGTTCTGATGAGATAAGCTACCAAAATGTATATGCATGTTGTCAATATAATTTGTACAAATTAATTCATTTAAGTCATTCTCAACTATACAATCTCATACTTATACTATAATAATAATATATAATAATTTTATATTACGAATAATAATAATAATAATAATAATAATAATAATAATGATAGATTTAATTATTCTTTATTTATATGTACTTACTTTATAATTAACAATCTACTTATTTCTATTTAAAATTATAATTTAAATTATTTAATTTTATAATTTATAATGATAATATAATTTATAAAATTTAAATATTTATTTATTACATACTTATAAATTAAATTTTAATATTTTAAATAAATTATTAATTAATTTAATATATTTATTTACCTTAAATCAAACAT